CTCCTCCTCTCCCCCTCCTCCTCCTCTTCCTCTTCCTCCTCCTCCTTGTATCTTCTTCTTGTTCTTTTGGTCTTTTTGAGACAGGCTCTCCCTGTAGCCCCAGCTGGCCTGGAACTCACTTTGTAGACCAAGCTGACCTTGAATTCACAGAGATTCACCTGCCTCTGCCTTCTGAGTACATGGATGAAAGGTATGCATCACACCCAGCTACACACAGTTCTACACCTCCTTAGACTATAAATCAAGACCTTGTTTCATGAAAAACAGTTTAGGAAATGAATGTTTACACAGGGCAGCACACCTTTGGGGGGTAAAGCATCATATTTTGCCATCTGGAATGAAGCAGCAGAGAGTGGAACCTGTAACTAAACTTTAATTAGTGGTGGCAGCCCTGTCCCCATGGCAGGTAAGATGTCTGCATGATGCGCTAAAGGTGCAGAAAGAAAAATACCACGTTTCTCTCATACTAGGATCCTGTACTACGTACATGTGCTGGTATATATTTATGTACAGAAAACAAAATTTTAAAATATAGATAAAATTTGACATGAGTGGTAGGTTGGACTCCTTGGAAGAGAGAACTATGGAAAAAAGAGATGGCATGGGAGGTGGATATGCACAAACTGCATCATTGTATTCGAATGAAAATATCTTCATAAAAACCATCAGTAAATATAATAAACGTAGGCCAATTTGAAAAATTTGAGGAGTGTGGGTGACAAATTCCAGAGATCTTCCTCACCTCTGACTCGCATGTGATAACTGGAAAAAAAAAAAAAAAGACTATGTTGGAATTAATTCCAGTCTCAGTGCCTAATGATTTCTAACTTCGCTCCCTGTTAAGCTGGAAGATTAAAGTCAAGCCATGTTCATTTCAGGTACTTGTGGTGATTGTTAAACTAACATGAGGACACACTACAGTGATTTCCAGTTCATGACCCACCTTTAACTTGAAAGTGCAGACCGGAAAGGACAACGTTATCATCAGGAGGAGAGATTTTTTTTTTTAACTTTTACAGAAACTTTATTGAGAATTTCATACACGCAGATAAGGCATTTTGATCAAATCCATGCCCACTCCCTCCCCTCCAACACTGCCCCCTCTGAAGAGGTATCCCTAAATTCTTTTAAGGATTAGATACAAGCTCCCACATACTTTCGACATTTTTGGCCTTTGGAACAGAATATGTTGCTAACAGGCCCAAGGACATTTTGACTTTTAGCCAAGAAACTGGCTGCTTTTCTTTGGCCTACGCAATTCCTACCTCCTATTCTACCACACCATCCTCTTAAGAGGTTACCCAAATTGCCAATAAAGAATCGGGATTCAGACTGCTCTGGCTTCTTCCATGCTGAACAGGGACGCAAGGTGGTGGCAATTGGAGTACCCCTTCAGTGGGTCTATCTAAAAGACTCCCAAATTGCATAACTCTTGTCTCTAAGGGGAAAAGAAATTTTAATTAACTCAACAGATATTTGTTTGTTTTCAGGTACTGGGGATTGCAACTAGAGTCTTGAACATAATAGACAAGTGCTCTACCACTGAGCATGTTCCCAGCGGTTTTACTTACTATTTTCTTTTGAAAGAGCGCCCCCATCACTAGTCCAGGATACCCTTGCACCTGTGATCCTCCAGCCTCAGGCACTGAACTCCTGATACTAAAAGGCTGAGCCACCAAGCACAACTTACCCATAATTAGTGCTTGGCAGCTGAGCTGATTGATAACCACAGAGCTCTGAAGGAAAGCAACATCCCTCCCCTAGTGCCTTTCTTACTACTTGGAGAAGAGAGAAGAGAGGATAGAAGGGTAAGACCTGAAATCCATGTATAGCTATGTGCACACTCATAAAACACATCCAGTGGTACATGCCATGAAGGAATCAAAGGTTGAGCCTCTGAAGAGGGTGAGTGTAGGGGTGGTTACTTTATAAAGGTTGGTGTGCTGGATGGCTTTAGTGTCAACTTGACACACCTGGGTTGAGGGAGCCTCAATTGGGGAATTGACTCCATTGGACTGGCCTGTGGCCATGTCTGTGGGGTATTTTCTTGATTGTTGAGTGATATGGGAGGGCCTAGCCCACTGTGGGTGGTGCCACCCCTGGCAGGTGGGCCTGTGTTGGATAAGAGAGCAAGCTGAGCAGGGGCCAGAGGAGCAAGCCAGTAAGCAGCGTTCCTCCATGGCCTGTGCTCCAGCTCCTGCCTCCTGGTCCCTGCCTTAAGTTCCTACCTTGGGCTCTCGATGAATGGCAACCTGGGAGTTGTAAGCTAAATAAACCCCTTCCTCCCCAAGTTGGTAGTGGTCAGAGTATTTTGTCACAGCAATGGAGAACAAACTAGGACAGTTGGTTGGTGGGTAAGATGGTGTTGTCAGGAAGAGAGTAAGTGAGGCAGATTCTGGGGGAAGAGTGTGCTAGGCAGAGGGAACAGCCTGGACTATCTCTGAACAGTCCACTGGGTCCCAGATGAGATGGTATGATTTGCATCTGCAGAGTCTTCCCAAGGTAGGTGTGTGTGTGTGTGTGTGTGTGTGTGTGTGTGTGTGTATGTGTGTGTGTGTGTGTGTGTGTGTGTGTGTGTGTGTGTATGCAGG